TATTATGTGTAAAGTTTAATACATAGTTATGTACATTAAATACAATTGTGTGTGTGTTATTGTGTATGTATTCATAGCTCCAGTAATTGTCTGACGATGTGTTATGATGTAACTATGTATTGGTTGTGGATTGATCAAAATGTGTCATTTACGTATATGTGTGAATTCACGTTCGTGTGTCAGCGTGATAACAATACTGTGCCTCTGTGTTTGTTATTGTGTAGTCATGTATATATATACACACACATGTATATATGTATATATACATACATATTTATGTATGTATATATACATATTTATGTATATATACACACGTGGAGTTTTGTTGTTTGCTAATCAGTTCTTTCATGTTAATTTGCGTGAGGAGCGGTGGGGCAGCGGTTAGCGCGCTGCGTCGCGACCCCCGGTTTCAATTCGGGGTGCACGGCTAACGTCAGTGGCGCCCCCCTATTATATAAAAAAACATGCACTGACCAGGGTGGCGAAGTATGGACAAACGATCCCCATAACCGACACAGCGTGGAGGTGGATTGACAAAAAGCTATGAATCATTATTTTTTTAGTTTCATTTTACGTTGGTTATATGATTAAAGTGCAGTATTGTACGTAGTCATATCCGATTAATATTGTATGCGCATGTGCGATATGAAGATGAACTGGTGTGCTGTTTGTGTGCACTGCACTGCACGCACGGATAACTGGTATTGCAATTGCTACCCACGGCTAACATCAGTGGCGAGTGATATCTGGAACCGGTCCTAGGCCTCTTATTGTGCGGCACTATGCCTGGGAAGACAAAGGCGGCCGGGCGTGATGTTACCAACCAGCCTGCTTGTGTAAAGTCCCGGCCTTAATAGATGCTCGCTCACAGCATTTACCCCAACAGTCTATAATTCTGTACGGCTGATGTCTCCGTGTGTATGTTAGTGTGTGTATGTGTGTGTATGTGTGTGTGTGAGTGTGTGTGTGAGTGTGTGTGTGAGTGTGTGTGAGTGTGTGTATGTGAGTGTGTGTGAGTGTGTGTATGTTTATAAGATGTATATCGGTCCCGATGTTAACGCATCCATGCCTGTTGCTGTTAAATGTATGCCTATGTGTATATTACACGAAAAGTCTATATTTGTTATTATGCAATGTGTGTTTAGTCGTGTAAATGTTGTGTCCTTATGTATTGTGTGTGTGTTTTTCCATGCGCGTGTGTGAATGAACGCGCGTGTATTGTGTGGGGAGCGGTGGCGCAGTGGTTAGCACACTGCTAAACTGCTAACCCGCCAACCCGAATTCGATTCGCTTCTCACGACCGATAACAGTGACGATTATCTAAACCGGTCCTGGGCATCGCCTTTGTCTACTCAGCCTTAAATGCGTACCTGGCGCGGTGTGTAAATATCGGCCTTTAGGGGAGACAAAGGCGGCCGAGGGTGGTGCTGGCCACCCCAGACCCTCGTGTGCCACCGTGCCGGCCTTCATAGGTGCTACTCGCTAACAGCACTTGCCCCCTTCAGTCTCCTAAGACTATACGGGGTGTCTTGTGTCTGTGTGTTTATGTATTTTGTTGATGTGTGTTGCCCATCGTGTAGCGTGAAGACATCAACAAGGTGCCTGCTGTCCATTCGTGAGTACACGCATGTTCACGCGTACATGTGTATCTATGTGTGTGTGGTTCACGCGTTGGTTTGCTCCACGCGTTACGCGTGTGCCTGGAGCGTGTACCCGTGGCTGTTAGTGAACGGGGGGGGGGCGTGCCTCTGCCAGCAGTGAGCAATTGCGGGCCTGCGCCTTTACCTTGAAGCTAAACGCTGCAGCTCGTTTGGAGAGTTCGGAAGGCGAAATTTGATTCGATCACGACTTCAAGACGAGATCAGCTTCACGGGCTACCTATTGAGGGCGCCACGGTGGCTCGGAGATGTTGACTACCTCGCCTGGTATACAGGAAGTCGTGGATTCGATCCCGACCCTGACGCCTGCTGCTGGTTATTTGGAGTTTGCGGTGTTTCTCTCGCCGTGGTCGCGTGGATTTTTCTCCGGGTCCTCCGGTTTTTCCCACCACATTCAGAATCAACATCACGCGTTCAGAGTATTTGGCTGCTACACATTTACACGTGATAAGCCGCTTCGCCGTGCTATCATTTGTGATATCCAGGTCGCTTCTGGAAAAGAGCTACATAGCACAGTGGGCCTTACCGGGTAAAATAAAAATACATGTTTATTTTGTATTAACCATAGCATTGCCCACGTATGTAAGTATGATCTTATTTCACACCCATACGTAGCCAACCGTAACAACACATCTACAAGAGTCTGCACAATTCCTCTCCATCCCACCTTGCCGATCGGCACGTGCACCGGTCTCAACAGACCCAGATCGGCACCGTCTACGATCCGCAGCCCCACGGCGATCTGCTGTCACCGCCGCGCGGACGCCTCGTGCGATAGGTTCAGTCTCGGGGTCTCTGGCTCCGAAGACCCGCAACGGGTTACCGGCTCGCGTTTGGGGATCCATCGCTGAGTCAGTTTTGCAAGAGCCTTAAAGACGGTGTCGTTCCAAAGAGCTTACCGCGCGTGATTAGTGCGCATTCGCGACGGACCGGAACCCGTAAGAGTGTGAGCTAGGAAATGATTTGCTTTGAAATTCCAACGGGGAAAAAAACATCACCGGTTCCCGATTCTGCGAACCGGCGACGTTAGCAAACCAACGCGAACCACTGCTAAATAGCGGTAGTCATCGTTCAACAACCGTCATGGGATAATGCACTACCACCGCACAGCCGTAAGCATTATTTCAATAGGTTATCGGTTTCAGAGTTGTAGTTTAACAGCCCTTGTAAGAAGAAGTGTGCTAATTGTGTCCTTACGCGCGTGATGCTAGCAGCAGCGGCGTGAGTCGGTGGCTAGATCCTCAGTGTCGAGATCTGCTGATGGCCACGACGAGAGGGCATCAGCAGAAAGAGAGAGAGGGAGAGTTCCGTTTCGGTGCTGCCGTTCCTCCATTGAAGGTAGGCAGGGCTGTAGTGGTTTTACCCTGTGGCCCTGAGGTTGGCGTTGCGTGTCCACAGTCGCACTACTGTAGCCGGGTGTTTAATGGTCAAACTTACGACATGTTGCGCAGCGGCCTCGCCGATGTTCTCATGCGGTTGACGGCTCCGCCAGTGGTGTCACGGAGGAGGAATGTCAAAGACATGAGGGTGCGATGTTTCAGTCTCGAACGAGATGCTTATTCAGTTTAACACGGAGCCGGCTTTCGCGACCAACAACATAATACAGGTGTTTTTTTTTGTTTGGGTTAGATCGCGTAAATATATAAATGTGTCGTTGAACCCGCCGCCACCCGACACAGCCAACTAGTGAGGTGTGTCACGTAAACAGAACGTGCCAATGCGTTACTAATACAGCACAGCGGTGGTTTGTTGGAGAGTAAACCCACAACTTTACAATCGGGGTTACGTCGTTTCGCCAGTAATTACAACCAGCATCATCAGGCGGACAGACAGAGTTTGTATTTACGCGATCTAACCCCAAAAACCTCGATCATGGATAATATTGGTAGCGAAGGCCTCTTCCTACGTAGATGTCTCTGCTGATAGTTAGGTGGCAGAATGCTCGCCAGAACAGGGAGCCAATGTAATTGGCGTGCTAACGTAGACGAATGATGCATATGATTGTATCCGTGTGTGCACGTGTGTGCACGTGTGTTCACGTGTGTGCACGTGTGTTCACGTGTGTTCACGTGTGTTCACGTGTGTTCACCAATATCGGTGAAAATCGCGCGTGTGCATCCCACGCGGATTATCCCATAGCCGGGCAGAGGCGGTGACTAACTATGCTTGTATGTATGTATGCACGTTGGACTTCTTTCGCGCCGTACGTACGTAGCCAACCGCGCTAATCCGAGGTGCGGCTACGCACGTGCCCGCCTCCCTGATCTCGAGACCATCAGCAACCGCTGCGGAGGCTCTGAACGTCTTCAGTCCGTTTCCTTCCCCCTAGAGGACATTCCACCAATATGTAACCTTTGTTATCGAGCCGATTTCTCAACGGTTTTCACTCCGCATGGGAACATCCACGGGCACTCGTTCAGGTGGCAGCAGCGGCGGCGGCGGGCAGGCCCTTCCACGGCGTGACAGCCACGTGGCCACGGTAATGCGAGACCACACACGGGGCCCCAGGACCTCGCAGACGACACGGAACGGTTCACGATGAATGAGCGCCGCCCCCATCCACCCCACGGCGGAGATCGCGATGACAGTGATGGTCGCGGCGATGCGCCTGCAGCTGATGATGATGATGTTACTGCTGCTCTAGCTGCTGATGATGATTATATTGGTCATGATGATATTTGCTGCTGCTCTAGCTGCTGCTGATGATGATGATGATATTGGTCATGATGATATTTCCTGCTGCTCTAGCTGCAGCTGATGATGATATTGATCATGATCATATTGCTGCTGCTCTGGTTGCTGCTGCTGCTGATGATGTTGATCATGATATTATTGGTGCTCTAGCTGCTGATGATGATGATATTGATCATAATGATATTTACTGCTGCTCTAGCTGCAGCTGATGATGATATTGCTGCTGCTCTGGTTACTGCTGCTGCTGATGATTATGTTGATCATAATATTTCTGCTGCTCTAGCTGCAGCTGATGATATTGATCATGATGATATTGCTGCTGTAATTGCTGCTGATGATGATGATGATGCTAATCGTGATATGACTGCGGATCTAGCTGTTGCTCATGGTGAGGACGATCCTGCTGTTTCTGATGCTGATGATGATAACATGTCATGCTGCTTGTGATATTAATGATGCAATTGTTGCTAGTGATACGGATACTACAGATGCTGCTGATGTCGATGATTCTACTGATGATCATGACGACAACACACGGCCGCTTGCTCTTGATGATGAACGCAATGACGTTGCCGGCGATGGCGACAGTATCAATGGTGACGGTAGTTCTGCTCGTGACGTCCCTCCTGTTGCTGATGATGCGTTCAGGAATATTGGAGCTCATCAGGACCGGCAGCCTGGATAGCGTCATGTCGATGAGAATATGAAGATGGGAAGTGAAGCATCCGGACTGCCGCCCCCATCTCTCGCCCCCCCCTCCTCCACCGCCCACCACCCCTCCCATGCATCTGTGATCTCAGCTGCCACGGCGGCCGTGAAGACTCCCGCATCACGCAGGTGAGCGGCGCAGACCTACAGGCTCACCGATTGCCGTGGTGGCTAGGAGATGTTAACTACCTCGCCTGGTATGCAGGAGGTCGTGGGTTCGATCCCGACCCTGATGACGCCTGCTGCTGCTGTATATTTGTAGTTTGCGGTGTGTCTCTCTCTCTCCTCGTGGTCGTGTGGATGTTTCTCCGGGTCCTCCGGTGTTTCACCTCCACATTTAGAAACAACATCACGCGTTTTAGAGTATTTGGCTGCTACACATTTCCACGTGATGATAAGCCACTTCGTTGAGCTGTCGTTTGTGATAGCCAGGTCGCTTCTGAAACACAACTACGTATCTCAGTGGGCCTTACCTGGTTAAAATTAAAAACAAAGTTTGAATGGCAATTATTACAATCGGGATCAGGAGTTGATTTCCCACTGAGTCAAGCCCACTGAGCTATTAATGAATCTCTTTTTACCACCGGCGACAGCAGCAAGCCGTTAGATCTCAACAATTGGAGGGTTAACAAATAAACCCACAGACGTTGTTCTGCTTGCATGGGGCTGTTGAAATCAAACCGCTCGGTGTGGCTTGGAGTGAGCGGATCGCCCTCGCCGCTGATGTTAAAGCCGTGGCGTGGAATCGAACTCAGGCAGTCTGTGATTAAACCCGGGTTCTCTAGATTATCGAGATCACCATCGGCTCACATAGAGACCCATAGACTCACATAGATGCATAGACTTACATACAGACGCATAGACTCACATAGAGGCCCGTAGACTCACATAGAGACTCGTAGACTCACATAGAAATGTGTAGACTCACATAAAGGCTCGTAGACTCACGTAGAGACCCATATACTCGCATGTATACTCATAGACTCACATATAAACCTATAGACTCACATAGAGACCCTTAGACTACACATAGAGACCCATAGGATCACATAGAGACTAGTAGACTCACATACAAATCCACAGACACAGACAAAGATCCCCTGCATAGCCTGAGCAGACTTTTGGGGTAAGTGCTGTTAGCGAGCACCTATGAAGGCCGACGCGTCGCACACAAAGGTGGTGGGTGGCCAGCACCACGCCCGGCCGCCTTTGTCTCCCCAGTGCTGATGTTTACACACCGCAGCAGGTACTCATTTGAGGCCGAGTCGACCTACGGGTGACCCAGGACCGGTTCAGATAATCGTCAAAGGCGTTGGCCGTGAGCGGGAATGCAACTCGAGTCGCCGGCTTTGTAGTGCAGCGTAGCGCTAACCCCTACACGACCGCTCCCCACGTAGAACAACCGCACGATCGCAGAGAGACCAATACACCCACAGAGACTGAGCCGTGATGAAACCGGGTTGCCGAGTGGAGCGACTCGATGATGGTCTCAACCCGGTCAACAACGCCTGCACAACAACAACAGCAGCAGCAGCGACTCGGAGTACGATGTGAGAGGTTTACATTTGGCGAAATTCCAGCTGCGAGGCCGAGCAGTTTGTCTTCAGGAGTAGTTCCGTGAGGTCGTCTTCCGGGGGCCGCTTCTGCGACGCAGGGTGGTGCACCGCTCGCTGCGGAGCTCCGATCCCGGGGGGGGGGGACACGCCTTTGTCCCGTGACGACGCTGATAGCGCGACATCACAAACCTCATAAAATATGCATCGTTCTCTCATTCAAAGGGGCTCATTGATCCATCCCTTAGCTCCCCGCATCCACACCCCCCCCCTTCTCTCGCCCCCCTCCCAAATATCCACCCCCCCCCCCCTCGAACCCCCCCCCCACTCGCACCCCCCCCCCCCGTGACCTCTTCCCTAACGCCCCCCCCCACCCCACTCGCTCTGCCCTACTGTGGTTCCTCACTCCTCGTTGCTCTGGGCACCCCAAACCCCCTCCTCGTGGTGATGGAGCGTTGACCCCCCCCCCCCCCCATTCCTCATTGTTGACGTGCAGTGACCCATGTCGCATAGGGTGAGTGGGTGAGTGGAAGACCGTGGGTGACTGTGGGTGAGTGGGAGACCGTGGGTGACTGTGGGTGACTGTGTGTGAGTGAGTGGGGAGACCGTGGGTGACTGTGGGTGAGTGGGAGATGTGGGGTGACTGTGGGTGAGTGGGAGATGTGGGGTGACTGTGGGTGACTGTGGGAGACATTGGGTGACCGTGGGAGACTGTGGGTGACTGTGGGTGACTGGGTGAGTGGGAGACCGTGGGTGACTGTGGGTGACTGTGGGTGACTGTGGGTGACTGTGGGTGAGCGGGTGAGTGGGAGGTGTGGGGTGACTGTGGGTGAGTGGGAGATGTGGGGTGACTGTGGGTGAGTGGGAGATGTGGGGTGACTGTGGGTGAGTGGGAGACATTGGCTGACTCTGAGTAACTGGGTGAGTGAGTGAGCGAGGATTAGGTGAGGGGCTGAGGATTGTAACAGGTGAGTGGCCGCGTAGTGTAGCGGTTAGGACTACGCTGCACTGTGAACTTGGCGACCTGGGTTGGATTCCCACTCATGGCCAACAGCAGTGACGAATATCTGAACCGGTCCTGGGACTCCCCTAAGTCGACTCAGCCTCAGATGAGCACCTGGTGCGGTGTGTGAACATCGCCACTGGGGAGACAAAGGCGGCCGGGCGTGGTGCTGGCCACCCACCCACTTCGTGTGCCGTACCGGCCTTCATAGGTGCTCGCTAACAGCACTTGCCCCTACAGTCTGTGAAGGCTATACAGGGGATCTTTGTCTTTCTGTGTTTGGCGAGTCGGTGAGCGTGGGTACATTTGAGATGGTGTGTGGGTGAGTGGACATTGGTGAGTGAGCGTGTGAGCGGCTGAGCGTGGATTGGAGTGAGTCGGTGTTTTTGTGTTACGTGTTTTTGCTGAGTCGGTGAGGGTTGGGGTGAGCGTGGGTTGCGGGTGAGTGTGTTAGCAGGTGAGTAAGTGAATGAGTGTGAGTGTGTGAGCGGGTGAGTATCGGATTGGGTGAGCATAGGTTCAGTTGGGGTGAGTGTTTTAAGTGAGTGTGGGTTGCGGTTAATGGTTCAGTGTGGGTTACGATAGATGAGTGAGTGTGTAAGCGGGTGAGTGTGTAAGTGGTGAGTGAGTGAGTTTAGCTTTGGTGAGTAGATGAGTGGGTGTGCATTCTGGCGAGTGGGTGAGTGAATGAGGATGTGCTGCGGTGAGTGAGTGAGTGCGGTTTTGGGTGAGTTTGGGAGTGGGCGAGTGAACGAGTGAGCATGTGTTCTGGTGAGTGGGTGAGTTTGGGGTCAGGTGAGTGTGGGTTCGGATCAGTGAGCGGCTGAGTGAGTGGCTCCTCCCGGTGAGTGAGTGGAGTGAGTGTCTCTGGGTGAGTGTGTGAGTGTCTCTGGGTGAGTGTGTGAGTGAGTGAGTGTTTCTGGGTGAGTGTGTGAGTGAGTGAGTGTCTCTGGGTGAGTGAGTTTCTCTGGATGAGTGAGTGTCTCTGGATGAGTGAGTGAGTGCCTCTGGGTGAGTGAGTGTGAGTGTCTCTGGGTGAGTGTCTCTGGATGAGTGAGTGAGTGTCTCTGGATGAGTGTGTGAGTGAGTGAGTGAGAATGTGAGTATGTGTGTGAGTGTCTCTGGATGTCTGGCAAAACAACCTCCTACCTCCTCGCGGTGCCGAACAGGCAACTCTGCCGTGGACAGTGCTGGGGGGGGGAGGGGCCAATTCCGATTGGGCCCTCCCCTCTTGGCGTCTGTGACCACCACAGGGGCTAAACGGGGGCTCTGGATGGGTGCGAGGGGCTGGTAACCCCTCCACCTTCAAAAATTTACCACGAAACTACAAATTAAAAATGTAACAAATCAGCTTGTGCTGGAGGCCCCGGGGGGACAGGCATCTATGACGTCTCCTGGCCAAACCCCAATTGGCGGAGCCAGGAGATTGAATCTCTACCCTCGGGGCTCCTCCAGAAACAACGAAAAGCCACTTCGCGTGGCCACGTGGAATGTTCGAACGCTCACTGCGGAGGAGAGGCTGCCACTCCTCTGTCGGGAGCTGGACTGGTACCGCCTGGATCTCTGTGGCATTCAGGAGGTCCGGTGGGCCAGTTCTGGCTCCTGCCACCATGAGGGGTGGACAGTCCTCTACTCGGGGCAGCAGACTACCAAACAACAGGGTGTGGCTCTTCTTTTGAACAAAAGAATGAAGGGGCGTGGGAACGTGGCGGTGAGGTGTGGGAAGCTGTAAGCCCCAGGTTACTTTGGGGTCGCCTTCTCATCAACCGGAGGCGAGGAGTGGTGGTCGTGATTTCTTATGCCCCCACCGAAGACGAACATCTGTGGAGGGATGCAGGCAAAGCCGATGAGTCAGATGCCTTCTATGGCCTCCTGTCATAGGTGCTGGCTAAAGTGGCCCCTCGGGATAAAGTCATCTTGTTGGGTGACTTCAATGCCCGAGTTGGTTATGATGCTGGCACTTGGTCTCGAGTGATTGGAGGGCATGGGCCAGATCAGCTCAATAACAACGGTAGGAGGCTGCTAGATTTGTGTGCAGCCCATGGGCTTGTAATTACCAACACGCTGTTCCGGCATCAGCGCATCCACACAACATCATGGATGCATGCCGGATCCAAGCAAGAACATCTGCTGGACTACATAGTGACGGACCAGCGGATGCGAGTCCATGTCCTTGACACCAGGACCTACCGTGGAGCTGATCTGCCCTCTGACCATCGACTTGTCATCTGCAAGATGCGCCTGACATTCTTCCACTCCGGTGGTGGGTGTACACCCAGGACCCCATTCCAACCTAAAGTGGCATGGTCTCAGTTATCTGATGAAAGTTGCAAGGGGGAATTTCATCATCGCTTGTGGCTGGGGTTGGCATCGTCCCCCACTCCTCCTGATGTCGAGGGTAAATGGGCGAGGTTTAGGACTGTGACTCATGCAGCTGCATTGGCTGCCTTGGGTACGCGGTTCAGACCTCCCCAGAGACCCTGGCTGACAAAGGATGTGTTCAGGATAGTTGAGAAAAAGCGACAGGCCCACTGTCATCGGCTACAGAATCCCACGTCAGAGAATGAGGCGGC